CATGGTAAACATATACCTGCTGAAGAGCAGGAAGTAACTGGTGTAGAAATCAATAATCAAAGCATGAATAAGTCACCATGCTAGAGGGAGGAAACTTATTAAAGGGACACACATGAAGAAAGGCATCACATTTGATCCAGTTTAGACACTGAGTGTCAGTCAACCATCACTTTGAGAACTATTTTTGATTTGACTTCCATGGGGAACTGAACAACCAAGTACTATGGCTCATGTTTCATGATTATTTAGAACCATTTCAATTGATAAATCAGATATGTGACTGTTGGACTTTTATAAATCCTGCTATTCACTTGTGTTTTGCTTTATTTATTTCTTGTGCTTGATGGTCAGTTTTGGACTTTGGCTCATGATTTCCAGCCATAGATAATTTAGCATTGATTCTATAAATCAGCTTTGTAAGAAATTAAGAATCATATCATGTTGTAGGCAGAGTTTCTCTGTGTCCCAGCAGCCGCTCCCAAATAACTTCACTGAGACTTATTATTAATTATAAATGCTCAGCCAATAGCTTAGACTTAATATTAGCTAACGTTTACATTTTAAATTAACCCATATTTCTTATCTGTGCTCTGCCACCTGACTCAGTACCTTTTCTCAGTATGGTTTGTTTATCTCCTGCTTCTTCTCCATCTCCTCACAACTCCCAAGACTCATCCTCTTCTTCTTGCTCTCTTTTTGTCTGCCAGTCCCACCTAACCTCTGTGGTAATATTTTATTTATGCTGAAATGTGATAATATTTTATTTCTGCTTTAATAAATAAAGCTTGCCTGGAGATCAAAGGAAATAGCAAGCCATTTTAAGTAAAGTCAGGCAACAGTAGCATACACCCTTAATCCTATCACTTAGCAGGCAGGATCTCTGTGTGTTCAAGGCCACACTGGAAATAGAGTTGGGTGTTGTAGCACATGCCTTAATTCCAACACTAGTTAACTAAAGAGGTCTAGAAGTCTTTACAGACAGACAGGAAGTGACAGAGCTGGGCAAGAAGAGGAAGTGATGTAGCTGGACTAAGAGAGCCAATGAGAGAACAGAGCAGAAAGGGCATATAAACATGGGTATATAGGAAGAAGCATTTTGGAAGCTGCAGAGTTGTTGAGGTAAGGTTGGCTGGTGGCTTTCCCTATTTCCCTGATCTCTCTAAGACTTTCACCCATATATTTGGCTCTGCTATTTTTTTTAATAAGACCATTTAGAAATTCATCTACAAATCTCTACCTGTCCGTATATTGGCCAGTCAACTTCTTTATTAAACGAATCACAGTAACATATAGTCACACAGTGTAAAGGAATATTCCACATCAAGCAAACCCAATAGAGCATATTACAGTGAGTTAATGTGTACCCAAGCATGAGTAATACCAATAGGTTTATATAAGTCAGCTTCATGTCACATAGTGAATACTTGAGCTAATAAACTTATAGAAAAAAATGATTTGGGCCCGAGATTCCAGTCTAGAATCCATTGACATCGTGGCCTTGGGTCTGTGGTGAGGCGACAGATTATGTTGGGATAACGCAGCAAAAAAGAATTATTGATTTTATGGCCGGGGGCAAAAGCAAGGAAAGAAGTGCCCAGATGCCCCAACCCCCTTCAAGAGCACATTCTCAATGACCTGACAACCTCGCACTAGGTCCCACCTCTCAAAAGTCTCATCACCTTCAAATAACGCCACACTGAGTGTCCAGAGATTTTAACACAGGGGCCTTTGAAAGACATTCACGATTCAAATTAAAGCAAGGCTTAAGAGTTCAATATATTACATATATTAAAGAATAAACTTCTAGAGTTTGGCCTCACGTTTTCCTTGGTATAGAGCATCAAATTGTATTACTTAGGGACTTTGAAAAATAAGCTTTGTTTCCAAGTTTTCCAATGCAAGGTTTTAAACTATTACTTATGAAATATATTTTGTCCATGGGATCTTTTATTATGGTAGGACCTAAACTGAACGTTGTCAAGTAGACTTATTTATACATAGATTAAAAAAAAAAGTTCAACATGGTCACAAACTTGATCCTGTCATGTCTGTTTCTTTAGAGCTTACAGTACAGAAGTTTTCCTGAATCATTCTTTCTTCTCAATTGAAAAATATTGTAAAAGAAGGGCATAGGGGTGCATGCCTTTAATCCCAGCTCTCAGGAGGCAGAGGCAGGTGGATCTCTGTGAGTTTGAGGCCAGCCTGGCTTATGTAGTGAATTTCAGGACAGCCAGGGCTACATGGTGAAACATTGCCTCAAACAAAACAAAACAAGAGAAGGAGAGAGAGAGAGAGAGAGAGAGAGAGAGAGAGAGAGAGAGAGAGAGAGAGAGGCAGAGAACGTCATATTCTCAGTATTTTCTTGTTCTTCTGTGAGAAATACTTGTGCTAAGAGAGGAGCCTCAGAGAATGCTGGAACTGAAAGTTCTTGAGTTTATGGCTTAGCCGTAGTGTTGGGTGAAGGCCTCTGCTTTGGGTGCTCCCTTGGGGCCATAACTCCAGTCTGGACTATTTTCTTCCTGCAATAAACATCACTGAGAATCTCACATGTGATTCAGACAAATTGGTGATGTTTAAATTCCAAGTGGATATTATTGGTTTTAATCAACTAAGCTTTCAATGATAGTTAAGAATATACTTTCAAGTCCTGATTAAAACCAACCGAGTTCAGTGAGACTCCATCCCTTCTTTGGATAAAAGACAGCATCTCATTTTCTGCAGCTAGTCAGAGGAGTAACTGCCAGACACTTCCTGCTCATGCATGACCTTGCCCCAGTTCTTCTTGATTACTGTTGGTACCCATGGGAAACAGCTATGTGTATTTTTGTTTCAAGGAAGCCATCAGCCACAGTGCTGGTGGACTTTGGTATCTTATCTCTGAGAGGCAACAATTTGAAATGGCCCCACAGCCACCTGGCCATTCCTGTCAATATCTCTGATTGTGAATATGTCACACTGTTTTGCTGTGACTCCTTGAAAATTGCTGAGGTACATGAAGGACTTGCTTATGTTCCCTGTGCATACTAGAGGAAAATTTAAAAGATGTCCATGACAGTAGTCACATGAATGCTAACAAAAAAGTGTGGGTGTTTCCAATTATTTTTTGTCCTTGTTTGACTATTTCATGGGGAACAGATGAGAGGTTTGCACCTCACTATCACAGAAAGAGCATTAGATATGAAGCCAAAAGGCTTTGGACTTGAGCAAATGTTCTTGCTGTGAGAACATAGGCCAACGGTTTAAGCTCTTGGAGACTACTTTTCAACAAATAAATTGAAAATAATAGCTGATCTACTGATATCATATTATTGTAGGAGTGAATGGGGGAAAACAAATAAATGCATTCTGAGATGTCAGTCATTGCTGAAATATTGATGTGTATTCATTGCATGCCTTTGCTTAGAAGCCACAGAAATAAACTGGTTAAGTAGAGAGAGAATGAGTTTATTAGAAGGATCTCAAAGACGTGACAAGGAATTGTCAGGAGGTTCGAAGGTGCCGTGGACGCAAACAGAAATTATATAACTATGGGCTGGTGAGATGGCTCGGTGTAGAACGGCTTTTGCATCCATGCTTCACAACCTGAGTTTGATCCCTGGGACCCCTATGTTAGATGGAGGGAAGTGATTTCCTCACCTCGTTCTCTGACCTTCACAAGTTCTCCAAGGCATACATAAACCTTTCTACACAGAATAAGTAAACAAACAAACAAACAAGAAACTAATGTAATGAAATCGAATGGAATAGAAAGGAAACTAAATAATTTCAGAGACAGAGAAGCAGGACATTCATTCCAGTGGCCTGAGCAGGAGCCATCATGGACATGGAGTGAGTTCTTTTTGCTTCCAGTGCCTTTAAGTGTCTGATGAGTTTCAAATACTAGCAAAGGTCATTCAGTTGGCTGAAATGGATCTTATGCTTGTCCCTTGGGTATGGATGACGTGGCCCTTAACTGCTACCTTGGTCTCTCTAGCCAACAGCGAGCTCTCAAAGGAAGATGGTGACAGAAAAATGGGTGATGGACAATGAAAACTTCAAGTGAGACATTGACACTCCTGACTTACTCAACTTACAAAATTTCTTCAAATGCAGTGACTTGGAAGGTCAGAAGTCTGGTATGATCCATACAGTGACATGTTAAAATTCTAATCTCCAGGACGATGATATTAGGAAGGAGGTCGTGATGGTGGTGATGCTCTCATGAGTGTCATTAGTATCCTTTTAAGAGAGGGCCAAGGGTAGGTTGCTTCTTGTTCTTTGTGAACACAAAGCAAGAAGGCACTACCTGCCAATCAAGAAGCACTTCCTATCACACCTAATATACCAGTTCCTAAGCCTAGAGTTTTGAGCCTCCAGAACTTGAGAAAAAAGAGAAAATTGCTTAAACTATCACGTTACACTTTTGTTATATAACAGCTCAAATACACTAAGACAGTATCCTGAAATCAATACTTTTTATTTCCTCTGGGATAGAATCTATATTTTTATGTAATATATAATGCTGAGTGCTGTTCCTTGCAATCAAGAGAATGCCTATCTTTCCTTTCTGGAAAAGGAAAAGATCATTTCCCTCATCTGACAATTCCCACAAATAGCAGAAATTAGGACTCAGCTCAACTCAGGACAAATCTATTTGTCACACCTCAAGTAGAGGCCAGAAAGCTGGTGATCTGACTCAGTTTCCCGGGGCCTCATTGTTTGGGATTACTGATATTGATGGCCATAGTGACTCTGTTGAAATCTAGTTGGTTCAGCTCTTCTGGACACTTTGGGGAAGTACTCGGTGTTGATGGTCGGTTAGTGTTCACTGTAGATCGGTGAGGCTATATATACCTTGAGGAAACACGCTGTCCTTCATCCAATGATCCTATCTTGGCAGTTTTCCCCCTTCATATTTTAATATTTAAAACATTTTACATATTAAAATATAATTACATGATTTCCCCCATTCCTTTCTTCCCCACAACCCCTCCCTCTGGCTCCCTCTCGAGTTCATGCTCTTTTTCATATATATATATGAAAAATACAGAAATATAGACATACAACCTGCTCAGTCTGTTTAGTGTTATTTCTACATATATGATTTCAGGGCTGACTGCTGGGTAGTGGATAACCAGTTAGTGAGACAATCCTTGGGAAAGACCATCTCTCCCACTCTCTACATTCTTTAGTTGCCTGTAGCTCTTTGTTTAGGGGCGGGACCCCACGAGACTTCTTGCTTCCATGTTAGTGTGTCTTGTCTGTTAGTGTTTTACTTCAAGGTCTTGTATAGACAGTCATATTGTTAAGGTGTCATGGGTGAAGCTTTCCTGCCATTTCTGAGAGGCACACATTGACAGCAGATATCCTGGTCTTCTGGCTCTTACGATCTTTCTATACCCTTTCCCATGACATTCCCTGAGCCTTACGTACATGAGTTGTGTTGTAGATGTAACCATTTTGGTTAGGACCCTCAGATCCTCCCAGGCACTGGGGATGCTGGTGACAATGTCTAGATTTTTTTTTTTCTCCAATCACCACTGTTCCCATGCTGTTCCTTTCTCTGGAGTTCTACATTCTTGTCCTGCAGGCAGATGATACTTGTGCATGCTGAAGTCTGAGCTCATGTCTTTACTCAAGAGTTCTTTTAATTAAAGAAACTGACTGATATAAACTTGAGGTATGATGATGCCAGGTCTTCCCATCGTGTATAACCTCCCAGAAATCTTCCCAAGGATGCCACAAATGATTTGTTTGGGAAATTTCCTTCCCAAATGTCAACTGGATCAGTGTTTGCTGTGAAATCAGAACACATGAGAGTAATCAGATCTGCTGGGAAGAGGTTAGTTTGGAATTCTTGCTTTCCAAAACATTTCACAATTTCATATGTGGTTTTCTTCCTGAGAACACTCTATTCTATGGTACCCCAATCTAGTTATAAAGACCCCCAGGCTATATTCTACAGCTCAGTCAGCATGCAGTCCAACAAAAGTTATGTTCATTTATAATACATCTAAACTGTTTGGCAAGGGTTTATCAATATGCTTTGGCTTATCAAACAGAGAGATTAACATCTAGTTTGTGCATTTGCTTTTGCTTGAACACAGATGTACTTGGAAAAAATAATCAAGACATCATGTTCAAATATTTTTGTTCACTTTTGGATTATATTCCAGAAAAAGTAGGGGAAAAGCCCTTTAAAAGTTTTTGGTAGGACCTAATGAGTCAAATGAAGAACAGTTTTTCAACGCATCACAAATGTTTTTGGAGCATTAGAGGAAAGAACTTGAAACTCTTGTCTTTTTGTCTGTTGGCATATTTTGGCAATCACCACAACTGTTTACATGGGGAACATGAGTCAACCTAATTGAACATGATGTCAACGTGTTTTGGAACAAAATCGTGTGGAGAATATGATGAGATTATACTCTGGCACCAGAATCAAATATGTCAGAGCTAAAAGAGCTGAGAGGGTATTCAGCTTCACCCTCTCATTTCAGAAATGAGAGGACTGGGAACAAGCTGTTGAGATGACATGCCTGAGAGGAGACAGCTTGCCATTTGCAGAGTTCTTATGAATGTGACCTTGGAATTGTCATTTTTTTCCTTACCTTTCCATAGAGATAGGGATATATTTTCTCTATCGTCTCCTTACATTTAATACTGAATATACAAAAAAAAACAGTCACCCCCCAACTTGCTATCTAGAAATAGTGTCTTAGATAATATATATGTACAGTTTGTACATATATATGAGCATGTGCGTGTGTGTGTGTGTGTATACACTAAATGTGTTTGGTTTGTTTTTTTAACTTTTATTTATTCTTGGATGATTTCATACGTGTATTCAATGTGTCTTGACGATATTCCCCCACAACTTCCCCCCTCCCTATCCACCTGGCACCCTTAATATGTCTCTTTTTCACTGCCATATCTTCTCTCTTTCGGTAACCTACTGGGTCTAATTAGTGCTGCCCCCTGGAATATCAGTTAGTTTTGCTGGCTTGACCTTGGGCAGGTCTTGTGCAAGGAACCATAGCTGCAGTCAGCTAATACCACAGCAGCCATATTATGTCCAAAAGACAGAATTCCACAGTACTCTTCCTCCTCATCAAGTTCTCACATTCTTTCTGTTCCCTCTTTCAGAATATTCCTTTTTTTTTTTTTTTTTTTTTTTTTTTGGTTTTTCGAGACAGGGTTTCTCTGTGTAGCTTTGCGCCTCTCCTGGAACTCACTTGGTAGCCCAGGCTGGCCTCGAATTCACAGAGATCCGCCTGGCTCTGCCTCCCGAGTGCTGGGATTAAAGGCGTGCGCCACCACCGCCCGGCTCCTCTTTCAGAATATTCTTAGGGACCTGGAGGAAGGAGGCCTGATGTGGATGTGTCATACGGCTAATCACTCAACACACACTTATCATCACTTTGACCAGTCAGGAGTGTCTGCATTGACCTCTGATGACTTTGGAAGAATCCTCTCTGTCCACAGTTGAAAGAAGGCCTAACCTACTGGTATAAACATAAATATTTAGAAGGCAGTTGACAACATACCCATTTAGCAAAATATTGGTGGGAGGTTTCCCTCTAGGGACTGTGAGCTCCCCTAGTCATGGGTTTATGAAAGTTTATGGTACCAGGTGTGAATTCCCTCCTGTGGATCAAACCTCACATCCTGCAGAAGGCAATTGCTTACCTCCATAATCTATGTGACTATTTTACTTATCTTGTCTGGCAAGTCACTATTGCAGCATTCAGTCTCCAGCACGTGGAAGGACCATTGGTGACTCTTCTCCCCCACTAGCCTGTTACTACCTCCTAGCACCGTGAAAGGTAGCCATCAGGAGGAAATCTTCAGGTCAATTCCAGCTGGATTTCTGTATATCCTATAACCAAAGCTGTGTTGTGTCTTCAGCAACAGGGTCTTACCATCTAGTTTTAGAAGGTAACCAAGAGCAAAGACAACAGCCCATGCTGTTTTGGGAACCTCTCTGACCTTCCTGACCAATAACTTGTCAGGAGACATCACATACCCCCAACACTAACGTTTTCGTTTAAGAACACATGCCTACTGAGTAGAATCCATTTCCAAGGAAGGAAAAATAGATATTTATAGAAACTAGAGATCTTGGAGAAGACATTACATTTTTCTAAAGGGAAAATTGGGTCTCCTGGAAGGCAACAATTTGTTCCAGCCCTGACACACTGAGGACAGAGAAGAGAGCAATTTCCTGTGGAGTTTTGATGACAACAAGATTCAACTCTCCAGAGTCAATCAATAGTAGGTGTCCTATGGACCTGGGTTCAAATGTGTGTGTCACCTAAGCTGTGCACTCAAGCTTGTGTCTCCACCACCTTGTCAGAGTGCTCTTTAAGTCAATTTGCTTGTTAGCATCCTTTGAGTTCTTGGAACCCTTTAGACATCTTTATAACTGTTCCTTTGACTTCTGTGCCTTGAGTTCTTCCCACGTTTTTTTGTTTGTTTATTTGTTTTCTCATTAGAGATACTTACTGCAGGTTTGGTGATCTTTGGAGGAGACGTACCCTCTTATTTTTTTCACATTGCTTGTGTTTTTGTGCTGTGTCCTGGACATCTGGATTTGGTTGTATCTTTTGACATGTTTTCTAAGCACACCAGTCGGCAGTGATCTGGGTAGCATGAGAAGTCTCGAGGGAACAGAGTGGAGGGTAACAGGCCTCTTTCTAGAAGCCTGGGCTGCTGGAAACTGTTCTTGGGTCAGGTGTTCTACTGGATGGCTTTGAAAAGTCCAAAGTAGTAGGGATGGTCTTGTAGTCCGGGTGACTAGAGAGAGTGCCTAATAGGAGAGAGAACAGATTTGAGAGTGAAACTTGGTCAGATCTCTTACTAGGGGTAGCCTCATGGACTTGGTGTGACTGTGACATATTCCTGGAGGCTGGGCCTGGTAAAACGGGTAGAGTATTAAACTACCTAGGGAAGCAGGTGGGGGTGTGTTGGCATGGGGACAAAGCAAGAAAGGGACCTATCTGGTGGTAGAGGCAGCGTGTGGTTTCAGGAGAGTGGTACGATACTTGGGAAACCTTTGAGTAGGGTCTCATTTGTGGTAGGGGCAATGTGAGAACCTAGGTCCATTGCCTTATCTACAATATGGATAAAGCAATAGCTGATTTAATAATATTGCAAGATCATATACAAGACACCCTAGTCTATGGGCTGGGTAAATAAATCACTTGTTACATTGTATCCTATCAAGAGGTGTAGTCTGTCTCTCTACTTTATTACATCTGAGCTGATCTTTGACTTTAACATGATATGTCAGCCTTCGTTTTCATAAAGCTTTGTCCTAGGACCACCACGAATGGAAACCGAGCGAGACAACTGAAAGATGATTGGCCACATAAAGAAGTGATCGGCTCCATCCCACACATTACTGCAATGGCAAATGAGAATGAGGCTGTCTTGAATCTTCTGGCTGAGGCAAACTTCCACCTGAATGCAGGTGCGTGCACAGCCCAGCCGATAAATTATAAATGCATGATAGGCATTTGTTAAGGCACACACATGCTCACTCAGTGTCCCTGTGTTTTTGTCTACCTTTGATTGGGTCTTCCCTGGGAGTGATTTCTTTTGGTAGTATGCCTCATTCTAAGGCCCCATGTCTGCTCCTTCTCCAGCCAGATGACTGGGACACAAAGTATATTTTTCTACAATGCTAGTGTGCCTTGGCATGCAGATGTGAGCATCTGTGCCCTTTTAGAGTTCCAGGAAGAACCACTGCCAGCTGATGGTTACAGTGTGAAACAATAACACAGCAATTGGAGATATAAGGGTTACAGGGAGTGAGGGCTTATTTCCCTAAGTTTCACAAAGACATTGTCTTTACCGGAATCGAAGTCCAACTCCCAAACCAAGAAAATTTTCAGTCAATGTGAGATATCCTCGTTTATAAGAATCTGATATAAAATCGACACAGTGCTTTATAGTTTGTCAAGCAGCTTCAACAACTTTACCCTAAATAGTCTTTACAATAATCCCTTAAGGAAGCCTTTTCTCTTCTTCTATTTAATAAACATTTTAATCTGTGCTAGGGAGACGGCTCAGTAGGTAAAGACACTTGCCACCAAACTGATGACCCACGTTGGATCCCCAGGACCCACATACCGGAAGGAGAGAATGGACCACTACGAGCAGCCTTTTGACCATTGCACATGTAGATACGTGTGTGTACGCACATACGCGTAAATAAATAAAGGTAATTAAACATTTAAAAAGCCACCACGTGCGAGTGATTTTTTTAACCCCTTGGATCTGAAGTTGGAAGCCGAGTTCCCACTCTGTACCATTGGCGCTGGTTTTGGATTTGGGGTATTCACTTCCATGACCAGTGATGTGGGACTGTCTGATACACATCTGTCTAAGTACTTCAGCTCAGTCCTGAAGAAGAAGAGGCTTGTTCGAAGGGTAGACTCCATCTTGTCTTAGCACAGCCCCTGAGACCCACCTCCCCGGTGTGCAGTTAGCATGGTGTCCGCTTCCCAGAGTCCTTGCTTTAGGATGAAGCATTTCATCTCACCTGTCTTTTTTATTGCAAAATGGAAGGTTTCATGTTTTCACACAGTCTGGGCTCCAAAGCAGCTTCTTAGGTTTCTGTCTTATGGCAGCAAAAAAGTATATTGGCTCTAGATCATGTACAAAGTGCAAAGTAGCCCAAATAAGATGCGTTAAGGAGGAACAGTTAGTAGTGGAGGCCATTGACAGGCTTTGGCATCAGCCTAGGGCGGCTAACCATGAGGAAAGTGGAAACCAGAACCTCAGGAAATACCATGTTGCACACGGCACGGGCAGCAGGAAGAAAATCACACATGTTGGTAATGTGTGGAGACTATAGAATCCTTATGTACGGCTAGTGAGGGGCTTAAAAATGTTTAAAAATGTTCTAGAAAACAGCTTAGGAAAGCAGAGAGTGGCGGTGATGCCTGTATCTTCAACACTTGGGAATCTAAGGATCAGAGGCTCGCAAGTTCTAGCCCAGCCCGGATCACATCACAGGACACTGTCTCAAAACAAACAAGCATCTCAAAACCCAAACCCAAACAGATGGAAGAACTGGCTCCTCCTCCCAAAGCTAAAAGCAACCGAGAGTACAGACAAGCGGGGGAGTGCTTGCCTAGCATGGATGAGATCTTGGGCTCAATTCCCAGCACTAAAGGGGGGGAAAAATCATAAAAAGCTAAAAGTATAGTTTCCACATAACTTAACAATCCCTCTACTAAACATGTATAGAAGGGAGATGAAATGTTTGCTCATGTAAAACCTTGACAGAAATGAGCTTATCAGCATTGTGCATAACAGCAAAAAAGTGGAAAGAAGTCGCTTGCACACCAACTGATGGATCGATAAATAAATATGAGATATCCGTTTCAATGGAATATTATTTAACCATAAAAACAAATTAGGTACTGATACATACCACAAAATGGATGGCCTTTACCGCATCGTGCTGAGTGAAAAAAAAAAAAAAAAAAAAACAACCAGATGCCAAGCATTACATATTATACAATTCCATCTATATGAAATGTCCTGAATAGGCAAAACCACAGAGACAGGAAAAGATTCGTGGCTGCCCAGGGCTATAGGGGGACAGGAAGTAATGACTACACGATGTAACATTTCTTCCTGGAGTGGTAAAAGTGCTCTAAAATGGACTATGATGATGAACATCCTCCTCTGTGAAAATACAGTCCATACATCATACACTTAAAGCAGACGGATTGTATGGTATGAGAGCCATGTTTCAGCAAAGCTATTAAGAAAAAAGGAGGGGGATGAAAGCCTTGACTCAATCTGTCAGCATGCCCAAAGCTGAGCTAGTGCGGAGGATATTTAGGTTGAGGGGGAGAAATAATCAGACTGTATATAAGACACGGAGGTGCAAGGTCAAAACACTAAGGTTCACCTCCATTGTGAACCAGCGAGGGTGTGGCCCAGACTGAGGGCTGTGACCGCTGAACGGTGAGGATGGTCTTCATTTCAAATGCTCATCTTAAAGGCCTGCCTTCTGGCTCTCCAAACTGAGGAGTACTATAGAGAGTTGAAGCTGACTGATTCTGATGAGAGCCAATGCCCCAGCACTTACCAACAAGCTAGTGTTTAGGTCTCTGGGCCAGCAGTGGGGGAAGGGGAAGGAGTTGCTTATATTCTGATCAGCTAATGTAGTATAGACACTAGCTGTTAAGTTCTCTGCCGGCCTTTGATTTCTTGACATTTTCCTGTGTGGAGGTGCCGTGATTGCACATTCCAAGTTGAGCGAATCAAGACAGAAAGAACAGTGATTGTTTGGTCACGTAGCACACAAATAGCAGCAGCAGCAGCATATAAAGCCCCATCAGCCTCTCAGCAGAGCATTCTGTGCACATTAGAGTGATTCAGAAACCCCCAATTCATACCAGCATTGGGATCCGTCACACGGAGTTTGTGGCTGGCAGACTCGAAAAATGGACAAAAGCCCGACACTGCCACTTCCCCAAGACGATACTGATTGCGTCTCAGCAGGTCGGGTTTGATGAGCTATATTTGCCAAAAGCAAAGAGACAGGTCGTAAGCCCTGCCACCCAGAGGCAGAACTCCAAGAGAGTCCTGCTGACTCCTGGTGCCCCATCTGACGCATATCTCTTCTAGCTGCACCCTTGCCTCCGAGGGGCCCTTGGCACTCGGGGACTGCTGTGTGTAATGAGACTCCAGGCAGCTGCTGCAATCTCGGAGGTCAGACAGGCATGGGCCGAGGGTGTGAGGACACCTGCCTATTGCAGGCAAAGAGGAACAAATGACAACATGTGTTGCCTTGAATGTGAGTGGCCCAGGCAGCATGTGTGAGGCCCTTGCAGATCTGTTTGCTTCATGAGCATGGGTCCTTCTTTTCATATCTGAAGCAGGGAACAGATGTTCCATCAAAAGACACATTTAAAATAAAGATAATTATGCAGTAAGAGGCTTAATTACATCAGCTTATTCAGGTCCACTTAATTGCCTGACAGCCCATGTGCCTCCCACTTATTTGCGGCAGAGGCTCTCGTGTTTTGCTGGTTTATCAAATCCTTTGATGGCGCGAGGAAGATGCTATTGACTTAGCCATTCAGAAAATATCAATTCCTCCTATACAGCTGGTAGAGGGAAATGTAAATATTTTTAACAAGCAATAAAGAATCATCGTTTTCCTAGTGCCGGCTTATGGTGTCCTATAAATGATTAATAACTGCAATGGCTCACAAAGGTAAGAGCCAAGTAGATATTTCATCTTTAGCTGTCTCTTGGTCATATTTGCAGCCTCTCTGTCATATTAAAATCCTGGGGAGAAGGTGATTTGGTAATTTAAAGAGGCCATTTGCCTTATGTGACAATCAAGCAGTTGACCCCAAGAAAGCTGTTTTATGGTGCTATTTTCAGCTCTCCTTAACTTTAAAGGTATGGATTAGCTCTGTTCCAGACTGAGGTCCGGTCTCTCTCTTTGGCCCCCTAAATTACCAGCCTTGTCAAAGCAATCGTTTTGCTTACTCTTTCTATTTTTCCTTTTAGTATTCATTTTTTTTCTTCCAAAGCTTGCAAATGAACCCCAGTTCATCTCATTTATCAAGAAAAAAAAGAAAGAAAAGAAGAAACATTTTTTAAAAGCCTCGAACAAGGCAAATTACGGTTTTGTTTTTTTCTCACTAGTCCTCATCTCATCCTGTGCTCAGAGCACTGTGTAAACCCTTCTACTGTGGATTCAGGAAACGCTTCCTCCTAGATTTACCCTGAAATCGGTAGGGATCATAGCAGGAGGCAGATGTCACGTCCACA